TCCGGGATCAGGTGGTATCAACACGGACACGCTTATGAAGGCTCCTACTTTATGAATGAAGTTTGACAACTTGAAAAGTGCTCATGAGCACTACATGGTTTACACACGGAGGCATGGTTTCGGGATAAGACTGGACTATAGGGGACAGAGAGTGGATGGCACTATAAGCACAATGCTTCTAGTGTGTGCAAAATACGGTAAACCGCATGGACAAGGAGGAGCTGCAGAGTGTGCAAAACCCAACCATCATTGTGAAGAAGAGAAAAAGAGAAAGGTTGTGAGGACTGAATGTCAAGCCCACACGTATGTTACTCTAGAGATGTGTGGTGGACTCTCGCCTGTTTCGATGATAAACACAACCATCCCCTCATTAAAAGGCCGTCCCTAATAAAGTTTCTGACATCACATCAAAACTTCCCCGAGGAGGAAAATGACTTCTTAAGAATTCTACACGGATACAACATCGCGACTGCAAGGTAGATGTAGGTCATGGCATGGTTCTACGGGTCTACTCAAGATGTACCCTACACGACGCAAGATATTTCAAATGAGCGAACTAAATTTCACATATAGAACCGTCGCACAGATGTGGGAAGCAATATTGCATACTTCCAGAAGATGAGGACCTAGGATTCCTATTTCTAATGGAGAATCAATCTTAATGACGAGGGTAAGGTGGAGAACTTGTTCCGGACAGATGACGCGTCACGCATGGCCTATGCAATGTACAACGTTTGTGTGTTGTTTGAAACTACATACATGGAAAACATGCAACAAGGTGTCATGTGCACCCTTCGTTGTCATTAATAACCATGGACAATACATCTAGTTTGGTTGTGGCTTTGTTGCAATGAACCGATAGAGAACTTTGTGTAGTTGTTTAACATGTTTCTGCATGCAATGGGTAGTGTTGACAACGAAAACAACAACACTTATCAAGACTTTATAATGAGGGCTGGCATGGACGAGGTATTCATGGACATAATACACGGAAATTGCCGTTGGCATATTATTCATGTAAAGGACGTTGGAGTTCCAGCCTCCTAGGGGCCTCGCCGCCCAAGAGTGCCCTCCACGCCGTCTACGGCTGGCACACTCTGTGCCATCCGATCTGCCCGTGCACATCACATCTGCCTAATTTTCTTGGAGGTCCATGAGATCTGGGCTGCGGGTGTGACTAGGGCCACCTTCTTGTGTTATTTTCGATTGCACCCACATGCACTGTCTCGTGCGTTGCCCCGCACGCGACGTGTGTACCCGAGTCGGAGAGCCCCTAGCTGACGCTCGCGTGCGTCAAGAAGATGAGCATTCGTGTAGGAATCGAACTACCAACCCAATGATAGAGAGTTAGCGTTCCTTACCACTTGAGCTGTTGCGTCATTGCAATCAAAACGCTACGTGACTACTTAAGAACTATATGTACTGACTGATCCAAAAATAAAAAATTGACCATTCGACATTTTTTTCATATACGTTGAACATTTTCGTAATATACGATAAACATTTCCCAAATACCCATTGAACCTTTTTTGTGATATATGCTAAACAATTTGAAAATACATATTTAACATTTTAGTGATATAACCTGAACAATTTAAAAATACACATTGAACATTTTTCTCTGGAGGGCAATTCCATACGATGAACATTTTTGAAAAGATGAATATACGTGCTGAACAATTTTCGTATACGCACTGAACATTTGTGTAATATACAATGAACAAAATTAAGAAACATAATGAACATTTGTATATTCGTTGAAAAAACAAAACCAAAAGAGAAAAACCAAAACCAAAAGAGGAAAACAGGACAAAAACCAGAAGAGAAACAGGAGAAAACCAAACCAGAAGAAACGTGAACAAAATTAGAAGAAGAAAACCATAACAAAACCAGAAAAAAAAAAGAGAAAACCAAACGTGGAAGAAAAAAACTAAGGAAATAAACATCAGCGAACGAAAAAGAAGCACGCGAACCCCGAGTGGGCCGGCCCAACATGCACGCGAAAACAGCTGCGAGCGTTTCCTCGACAGCTTGCCGCCCGCGCGCGTCAAATAGGAATTGCCCCCGAGTCGTCAGTGTCGTTGACCCTTCGTATTACATATGAAGAAAAGCAAATCCTTTTGGTGACTGGCCAATTGAAAAATTATCGATCCCGTGGTTCTTTGGGCCCAAGCCGGGTGTCCAAATCCGGCCGATCATACCTTCCTCTTCTCCTTGGCCAAACATTCCGTGCCCGAGTTATAAACCCAACCAAAGAAAGTAATATGAATATATGGAATTTTTTTTCCGAACATTTTGCTCACTTAATAAGACTCCCTCGCAAATGCCTGCTAGTGCTAATTGGATGAGATGCTTAACTGCTCGGACTGCTACCGTTGAGATAAAAAGGAAGGAAGTGAACACCGCACAGTTCGACAGATATCATAAAACACTTCGCAAAATATAGA